TTTAATTGTTTTGTCATTTTATAGTTTTATTTTATATTACTATTATTGCCATTACATTATGCATTTCATTTTCTTATTTTTATCTTAAATCACTTTTTACAGATTTTCTAAAGTCTTTTCCACTGATTTGTTTCCCCCATATTTGCACTGACCATGGCTAACCAACCAATTAACCATATGGAAACCAAATTTAGAGGTAGGAACCAAAGAATGAAGTTTGAAGAGTTATCACAGAGGCAAATGGATTTGACCCTGTACCCGGATGATAAGACTATGGAAACCCTAGGTATACATGATAGTGTCATGTACTTGTTAAACCGACTCGGATGGGAGAATGCATTGATCCAACATAAGTTTGTGACTTACCGCGAGCTCACCCTTGAGTTCCTTAGCTCCTTAATTTACCTACCTGAGCGCGGTTTTGGATTTAGGAAAGGATTTATTAGTTTCCGCCTATTTGGAATAGAATATGACTTTAACCATAAAGAACTAGCTGACTTGTTAGGATTCCCTAGTGGACCATTTGCTTTTACTACCACACAGGTAGAATTGATGGATATGGAGCTAGATTTCTTTTGGGGAACTTTAACCGGAAACTACCACCACTACAAGAAAAACAATGGATTGCGACGGTTATTTTGGAAGGTTACGACGGCTAAAACCACCATTAATTACATTCTACAACGGTTGTAGTACCGTCGCAGAAACGTGTGTCCCCAGGCTGTTTAGCGACGGTTGCCAAAACCGCCACACCAACCGTCGTTATATTTCACGACGGGCTGAAACTGACCTAAAATGGAGATGGCGACGGTTAAAGACCGTCATTACTAGCCTTTTGATTTTTGTTTTTATTGTTGATTGTGACGGTTTAAAACTATCGTGAACTCTATTTCATGACTGGTTGGAACTGACATAAGTTGGAAATGATAACAGTTAAATACTGTCGTGAATATCTTTTTGATTTTTAAGTGCGGGTAAATTGTGGCGGTTTGAACCGCCGCAAATTGCAAATATTTTTAAAAAAATTCTACCCTTAATTTTTAGCTATATTATAAATATATATATATATATATATATATATATATATATATATATATATATATATATATATATATATATATATATATATATATAATACTAATAGTAGAAAATTACTAAAGCTACTCTAATATAATATCAAAGATATTATAAAACCTTGATGTATCAACTAACATTAAGAAAACGCAAATCACAAAAGAAACTAAATTTGAAAAATCAACAAACATCTCATTGATTAAGTATCGAAGAACATGTGTCACCAAATGTTAAGCGAGTACAAGTTGTGTCAGTTGATGCAGAGGTTAAACTAATTCCCTCTTAATTATAGAAAAAGATATGTTATATATAAGTTATATGCACTTATTGAATAAGCACTTAATTAATTTGTATATATTTTAATGTCCTCTAATCCTATCTTACATAGGACTATAGTTGTTAATCTAATTTGAGCATAACATCTTCCACCAGATCTCTTCTAGAGGAGGATTCCTTTAGGGGCTCAAAACATTCATGCATCACAGAAAGAGCAACATTCGGTTTGCTGTAACTTTCTGCCAATAATCCACTTTTACTACTATCAATATCACAACTCTCGGCGTCATACACTTCACCACTGTCCACGTTAGATCATCTACGCCCACTGAAACTGGCTCTCTCCCAACATTCTTTGAAGGCCTTCACATAACTGTGAAAAAATAGACAACAAATATTTAGTATGGCATTAAATTTAATTGGACTTGCTATTGCCAAGTCATAACATGTAATTTCTCCAAAATCAATCTTCATCAATTCTATTAGATTTCATGTGCAAGCTCTGACAAAAATCACATATACCAAAGTATCAAGGAAAAATATAATTTTATTTCAAACAAGATAAATTACAAAATTTCTACAAAAAACATTGCTAAAACTTTCCAATAACTAAGGGGAGGCATTGAATATATACCTGTTCATAATCTTTTCCGCAGAACCGGCTTTCCGCATAATTTATGGACTTGCATAATATTACCAACTACACCAATCTCGCTTGAAACTTTCTCCTGAAAACTATGGTCTAACACCTGGCTTTCACCCCGGATTTCTCCACACAAAGAACATCAATCTGTTCCAAAATGGAGTCGTCAAAATCATCATCGAATAGGCCACTTCCAGAAAAGTAATCAAGTGTTTCAGTTTTAACTCCTCCAGGCATTTTCCTTGGAGTTTCGAAATTCGATTGACACAAACTCTCCTTCCCAACCACTGTCCTTGCAATTGAACTGCAGTGAATTGCGTCAAAGATGCTACGCCGCCATTCCCTGTCGAATTGAGTCTGTTTAATGAAACCTCTGCAAAGAAACTCTCTTCGCAAATGAAACCCTACTCGCAGCACGGTCAACATTGCTTGAGCCTTTAATTCTAGAAACAAAAAGAAATTTCAGAAAATAACATTATGCATTCTGCACAACATTATGAAGCTAAAAAGCATATAAACCCCAGGAAGAGTATAAATTTCACTCTAAAGTCTATAACCCCAAAAACAAGAAAATAACACAGCTGGGCAACAAAAGTTTTTGAACAAAATATGCAACAAAGATCAGTTAAATTATAAACAGTACCTTTGTATCCTGGTAAAGCTGGGAAGTCTTCATTTTGAATGATAAACTCTTGGTTTTTGTTGTACAATAGGACTAAGACCCTGTTTTCGTAAAGAGCCTGAAATTTGTAGTTTACATTCTTCTTTATTGTAGATGGTGAATAATGTAATAAGCAAAATAAAATTTTCCATTACACACCCAACTGTCCTTGAGGCCCCCCAGCAGAACTAGGGCGACTTGATAGTTGAGGGAAGTCATTGAGGTCAAAGGGTGAACTATCACTGGAATTCATATCATTCAACATTCCTATAGAGTTCAAGTGATGTACTGCTTGAATATGGCTTTGTGAAAGTGGACCTCCAGCACTTGGATAAGAATTTCCTAGCATTGAAATTACCCGAGGAGATCCTGAACCAAAACATAAGGTCTGGCTTTATCAGAAAGAAGTACAACATAGCTTCATGAGATTCAAAAATGAAAACTCAGATTATAAAATGCAACAGAGTGCATAGTAAGAAAATTGTATCCAAGATAATGAATTTGGTAAGATATGAAAAGCTCGTCCGTGAAAAAGAGTACAGTGTAGTATACTACTATATTTTCCCAGATAAATATAATTTTATACGTAAAAATATATATAAACAAATTTTGCATCACTTTAATATCTAGATTCTAACTCTTTTGAAAGAGATCTCAACTAAACATATGAAGATAACCTCAATATATTTGGATATTCCTTAGGAGAAATTGTATCCGAGATAATTAAGTTGGTAAGATTTGAAAAGTTCATCCCTGAAAAAAAAATACAGTGTAGTATAGTACTATATTTCCCTGGATAAATATAATTTTATATGTAAAAATTTCTATAAACAAAAGAATGCATCACTTTAATATCTATATTCTAACTCTTTTGAAAAAAATCTCAACCTAAAATATGAAGATAACCTCAATATAATTGGATATTTCTTATGATAAATAATACCTCCACATCATTTTAATGAACTTGTTGTGACTACCAAAATACAAAGCTTGAGGAAGCACGTCATTCATCAATCGATTTTGTCCTTGCACGCCTAAGCCACCAGATCCGCTGCTTCCATTTAAATGTAGACGTGAAGCAAGACCAGGAATGGACAATCCTCTAGAGCTTATCCTCCCAATGTTTCCCCCAGCAACCATGTTTCCCATCAAACTTGTTATCCTCGGACCTGCATTTCCCGAAATTGGGGATACTCCCAATCCTGGAACAGCATTACGGTTACCAATTGCAGCAGAAGTTGGAAGAATCCCAGGAATAGAACCTGCAACTCCATTTGTGCTACTATTAAATCCAGGATTTCCTACAACACTTATACCTCCTCTACTGTTGACTCCTGAATGTCTGTGAGAGCTTCCATGAGATAGCTGCAAATATGATGTATAGACATTTGGAAATACTTTAAACTAAACACCAGTGGAAAGATAATGAAAGACAGAACATATAAGTATGCTCAATAGCTCAGCAATTATCCTCGAGATGTTCAAACACAGGCACTTATATGTACCTATGACAGAGCAGCAGGTAGATTATTTCATGAAAATCTTCCACTCGAAAGACTTGATGTAGGTTGCTGAACTGCTCCAGATGGCATGTTGTTTATCGTTGAGTTTCTTGATGCGAGTGTACTGGGCATGTTAGGAATGTTAAAGCTCCCGTGCATGTTATGCAACCCCTGAATACCACCTGCAGCAAAAAGGTAGTGATTATGAAAATAAATAAAGAAGACAATAAAAAGGATTGATTCCAGCACAATCTTCCCACCAGTGTGCTGATAAATTGGCGAGGCTGCACCAGACCGACTAGAGAATGATGTAGTAAAAGAACGCCCAGCACCGTCTGGAATATTTGAAGCAGATTCGTTCAGAGAAGACTGCAAACAGAGCTCTGTTATAATTTGCATCAATAGTGAATGAAAGGCCAGAAAAATAATATGGGCAGACACGATCAAACAAGCCAAGGACTCCAAATCAAGTTCCAACAGTTGACATTAGCCTCGACTTAGCCCCTGATTTTTTGTACTAACGCACCAAATTGAAACTTGATTTGGAAATACTATCTAGCTAATAAACAACTATTGGATTGATCAAGTAAAACTATTTAACATATGTTTTTATTTCGTAAAAAAGACATGTTAATTATACTTAAATTAACTTTATCCAAAACAAAACAACCGTGTAAGCAAGTTTATTCATACCAAGTAAACTAATCAATCTTGAACCTCAAATACTAATGTTGAAGGAACTTAAAGCCACAGCTTGATACACAGACATAAATGCAAATATTACAGCTCATTAAAACAACACAACAAGGATTAGCATAATCTACAAATCTAGCAAACAAACTTACTAATTTATAGAATATTGAATACTAATTTGTGAGGGGTATGGTGGAATTTGCACTTCAACAGTACCTTCAAGCATATGTACCACATTTCTCGATCTTGGTCTAAGATATGGATCCTCTTGAACACACCAAAGAGCAATCATTACCAATTTCTCCAATTTTTCTCTGTCATCCAATGCCTCACTGTCACCCTCAACCAATGCATCTACAACACCATCCTTGTAGCAATCATAAGCCCAGTCAGTTAATATTGCTTTCTCTTCATCTTCTTGTTCCATTTCTTGAACACATTTTTTACATGAAATTATCTCAAGCAGCACTACTCCATAACTATACACATCCACCTTAACTGTGATAGGCATGTCTTTAAACCACTCAAATGCAACATACCCTTTTCTTCCCCTTATGCCAGTATTGGTTTTGCGTAAATTGGTTTCAACACATGTGTCACTTTTGATAACTCTTCTAAGCTTCTTGTACTGAAAAATAGAGGCGCTGGCACATATTGTTACAATCAATACAACATTGAGAATAGCAGAACTACCGAAAAGCACAGAAACAATCAAAACCAAAGTTTCCTTATTATTCTTGTTCCTATTGATTGGAGTTGGAGAAAGAGCAAAGGAGATATTATATTTTCTCACTTTCAAGAAGGCCTTAGCACCATCAAGTGTGGTATCAACTCTCCCATTTGAGAGTGGTAACTTCTTCTTCCAGCAACTATCACCTAACCTGAAAATAGCCACAGAACGCAAGCAATCTTCCATACAAGCTTTCATACATAGTTCTTCAGTAAAAGGCCTTAGAAATGCAGCATCGGATAGGGGCCAATAAGTTTCAGTCAAATTCTCAAAGTAATACAAATCATTTCTTTTCGTACTTAGTGCGTCTTCTGCACATCCTTGTATGAAGTCTGGCTTGCAGCCACCATGTGGATCATCAGGATCAACCAGTGAGTAATTTTTTGGACACTGACATGTTGGTCTCTTATCATCTCCCAAAGTGCAGAAGCTATTATATCCACAAACACCACTACCAGAACTGACAGTATAAAGACATATATTATCAGGTTTGGACCACACTGTAGTCCAACCTTCACTGCTAGTTGAATTCTTCGGATGCTTGAAAAGTGAAAACACTCCCTCCAAATTAAGAGTTGCTCTAAGATAAAAATCAGTGGTGGAGACTTTTATTGAGACGTCTTCTTCTCCATTTTTTCCTGACATGTTGAATTTCTCATTGTTCTCTCTCAAGACATACAACTCCCCTGATCTGTCAAAGACCAGTTGAGTTCCAGCACTAGATGTATCAGATCCGACAGGTTGAGTTCCAAATGACTCCATTCAACAACATCTTCTCTAAGCAACTTCATCATCAAGAACAACAACAACAACAACATGAGTAACTTTAACAATCAGCAACAACAAGCACCTATATCATATCCACCACTAGGTGAGGCTTATTCTAATTCTCAATATGTTACTGCCCTACCACCTATGGGTTACCCTTCCAAGGATGCCCCTCAACAAAGGATTCCAGACCAAACCACAACCAGAGGTGATGGGTTCTGGAAGGGATGATGTGTTGCTCTGTGTTGCTGATGTGCCATAGTGTGCTTATTTGTTACCGCTAAAGAATACACTAATGTGTATGAAGAAATGCATTGTAATAGTGATAAATTGGAGAAATTTCTTCCTCCGATAATGCTTAGGGTTTTTGTTCTTAAGAGATGAAAAGCAGTGGAAAAAGGAAGAGGGAAAGGGGGAAAGTACCTGATGAACATGAAACACCCTGAATCAATGATCTTGTTGTTGGTTCACCCCATCTCTGAACTATCTAACAAAGAGATGAAAAATTGTAAGAGAATCAAAATCATATTGAACCAACAGATTTTTTTTATTTTGAAATCAGACGAAAAAGTGCATGATTTTTTGATTTTTCGTACAAAGATGATCTTCCGGTTGTTTGATTCTAGATTAATGAAATTGTAGAGGAAAGAGTTTAGGGGTTTAAAAAAAAACGTAAGAGAAAAAAAAAAGAGCAAAAAGAAAGAGTGAAAGAGGAAAAAGAAGAGAGGGAAAATAAATTTTGGAATATTATTGGAACAAACCAATAAATAATACAAATTAAAAAAAAAATTAATAATTAGCTTTGGTGAATTCGTGTCTATCAAATAAATAAAAAAATGCATTAATAAAATAATTAATATTTATCTTCGGTAAATCCGTGTCTACTTAATAATAAAAATAAAATATAATATTTAGCCTCGATTCATTGGTGTCTATTACATAAAATAAAAATTATTACAAAATAAATTAATATTTAGCATTGGACAAACCGTGTCTAATATATATAAAAAAAAATAATTCAAAAATTAAAAAAAAACTAACCTCGACGTAGCCATGTCTATTGAATTAAATTAAAATAATGGTAAAATATAACTACAAAATGAGTTTTTTGTGTTTAAATAGCGTAGGTTTGGCCGAGGCTAAGTTGTGTCGGTGTCGGTGGTCGGCGCTAAATTCGAAGCTAAAATGCAGTTTTCCACTTCTCGATAAATTCTCGACGAATAAGATCTGAATTAAAAGTACAAATGAGTACTCATCGGGAAAAAAATCTAAAAGGAGAAAGAGGAGAAAAGGGTGATCAGCAAAGTTACTAATTTTATTTAAAATTTAAGCAAGACATTTCTCAAGTTCTTCTTTCATCACCATTTTTTCTATGTCAACACAAAGAGTACCCAAGGGATCTCCGACATCAAGGATCCAAAGTATGACATCAGAGGCTTTAATAACCTTTACCAAATCCTTATAAAATGTCATATATTAACTATCAACTAAGAATCATAACCCTTTTACTCTCACTCTCTACAAATCAGAACCCTTCTTCAATGAAAATCTCTTACTCTTAGTCTCTACAAGTCAAAACCAAACCAAAGGATACATACATATCCTCTGAGACCAACTTTGAGTTTATCGAAAATCATTACATACTTTTATCAATATCCTTAGTCTGAAACATTTCTCTCAAACCAAAATATTCCATCTAGAATAGACATATAAAGTATCAATGGTTTATAAATAAAAGAAACAAAACCTAAATTCAAAAGTCAAAACAAACATAACCGACAAATGATTCCATGGGTATTAAAATGAATAAACCCTAAATTTCCAAACCGAAACAAAATCTTCAAAGAAATACAAAACATAAAAACACGTGAAAACATACCTTCCCTGAGTTTCTTTGTACATGAGATTAGCAAGAATAATTATTTTTCCAATTCGATAAAATAAGTTTTGCAATTTTATAAAAGTGGAATATGGTTTCAGTTTGGATGGAAAACAACAAGGGTTTACGAATCTGAAATAAAATAAAAGGGCGGTAGAATTTGGAAATCATAACCACCTGAATTGAAAATTTAGTATATACGAACACAGGGGCTGATGGAGAACGGTCGTGGAACTGAAAAAAAGAATTTAATATTTTTTTAAAGCTTAAACATGTTTTTAATCTATAATTTATAATTTGTAATGTATTTATAATCTCCATAAATAATATATATATATATATATATATATATATATATATATATATATATATATATATATATATATATATATATATATATATATATATATATATATATATATTAGCATTGTTATTAAAATTAATTTTAATAAAAATTAACTATTTATATAATAAAACAGAAAATATTTTACTATCATTTTAGACAAAAATATTAAGTTACATTGTCATGAAAATTATAATAATTATAATAAATATTTATTAAATTAATTAATAAAATTGAAAAGGTTAGAAAATAAAAATGAAAGAAAAAAGTGAAATTAAAAGAATAAAAAAAATAGTGATTATGATTAGCTAAAGTAATTGCGACAGTTCGCATTAACTGTCGCAAGTGTGGAAAAAGGGTGGTTCTTTGGTAACTGTCACATTATTTTATACAACATGCCTAAAAAATTTGCGACAGTTGTCTCAACCCGTCGTGAGAACTGTCGTAGTCCAGGAATAAGGACGATTTTTTGATAACTGTCCCAAAAAATCTACGACAGTTGACCCTAACTGTCATGACAACCGTCGCAATCTAGGAATAAGGACGGTTTTGTGATAGCTGTCGCAACTCAAGTGTCGTAAATCTTCTTTTTTCTTGTAGTGCACCCTGAACCAAATAACATGAATAATGATGAGATCCATAATCCTGCTCTCCGTTACTTCCATAAATTCCTTGCCCACACCTTCTTTGGAAAAGAAGAAAACATTACCGGAGTTTCTAAAGATGAAATATTTATTATGTCATGTTTCACTAATGGACAGCCTGTTAATGGTGTACCTTTCATGATGCAAACCTTCACCCATATCCAAGAAGAACCTGAATTACCTATATTAGTAGGAGGTCTTGTAACCATGATTGCTGATGCCATAGGACTTAGGTACCAACTGCACAGGTGCAACCGTCTAGGAACAACCCACCCTATGAATCTTAATTTCTGCTTCAATAGACATATCATAAGGAATTTAGGACATCCACCTTTTGAGTACCTAATCCGGAACGAAGTAGTAACCCTGTTCACATTGCCTAACCATGCTAGAGTAAGTGTTCACAATAAGGATAACTGGCTTTATGAGTTAAACCCACCTGATTTTCCATCTACTCCTGAAACACCTCAGTCTTACAAGATAAAAGATGATATAATGACCGCTGTCAAAACTGACCCTGAGACACCTCCTGGTTACCATGACATTGACCACACTGAAGAAGTACATGAAACCCCTGAAGTGAATCAAGGAGATTATGCTAACAACTTACAAAACATCATGAACAATCTCAATGCTTACCAAACTGACATTAATTTATTTAAAGAAGACATTAAGAGCATGCGATTGGACATTATAGGATTGACTGACATAACCTGCGAACAATTCTATCACTTGAACTCCGCCATCGAAGACTTGAAGAAACGCTTTTGAAAATGCTATAAGTGATTTAGTTTATTTTTCTCATTGTTTTCGTTTCTAGTTAGATTTATTTTTCGCAACAATTTCATACCGTAATTTCCGTTTATGTAACTTCATTTTCAATTACTTTATGCAATGCACCTTTAATTCCAAAATTTCTCCATTTTTAGCAATTTATATATTTTTCATTCTATGTACTGTTATGCTTGCATTATTTCATATTATATACAATCTCTCATGCCATGCAAGTTAGTATAGTACTGTGTTGAAATTATATACTATATGGTGTTTATAATTTAATATGAGTGTTAGTGAAGAAAATACATTATTATAAAATATGTGAATTAAGTGAGAAAATGTTTTTCTGGAAATTATTCAACGAAGCGTGCCCTCACGGTCGTCATACCCATCTCACGATCGTGACGTGCTTAAATAGCGTGTCACGACCGTCACACCCCTGTCACGACCGTGACAACCCCTATTACAGGAATCGTGAGAAACAGAACTGTTTCTCTTCGTGCCTCTTCTTCTTCTTCCTCCATAACTTCCTCAAAACTGCCCATTTTCTCCATAACCTCCGTAACCTCCCCATTACCAACTTTAAACCTCATTAACCCCCCATTATCATAACCTATCACATTCTCACTCTCCATTATTTATCCCGAATCAATATTTCTTTCATTTTACCATTTTTTCACAAAACATCAAAAATCTTCATTCTTCACTCTAAGCTCTTGCATGCAATGGATTCTATTACTTTTAGAGAAGGTGATGTTGGAGAAACTCAGAGAGAACGTTTTCTCCGATTCCAAAACCGCGGTGTGCAACCTACACGTTACATTGACACTGTCTGTTTGAGGGAACTCGACATGCTTGCCAGTGTTAAAAGCCTGCTTCAAAAAGTCGGTCTGTGGGATCTTTGCAGTCAACCTCAGCCCACATTCGAGCTTCTGACACTGGAGTTCTTAAGCTCATTCAGTTACATCACCGGTACCGGTTCTCAGAGTCAGCTCACCGGTGTCGCCAAATTCAGATTGCATGGCCAAGAGTTCAACATTTCACAAACCAGGATAGCCGAGTTGTTAGGCTTCGATCACGGAACTGAAGCTCACCGTCGCGTGCCCGATAATTTTAGTGAACAAGCTTTCACTCTATGGCACGACTTAACCAACACCCGTGCATCAACCTTCCAAAGCCTCAACGCTACGCACATTCACAACCCGACAATCCGCTATTTCCACCGTGTCATATGCAACACCATCTTCGCTCGAGAAAGCAACCATAAGCTCAACTCCAAGGAGCTTCTATTCTTACACTGCGCTCTTAATGACGAGCCGATCAACGCTGCCCCTTTCATGCTTTATCATAT